CATCACACACACTTTTCCTCGGAATCGAAGTGAGCTCAACATTTATAACTCTACCATTTCCTCGAAATCCTATGTAGGCCTATAGATCTATTCGTCGTAGAGCAAGTGTTACACCAGGCAGAGGCGACGGGAGACCGCATATCCTATCAACGAATACCGAAGGCAAGGCGGAATTGGAATTGAATTTCCACTTTCGGGTATGTTCATTTTCTCGATATAGCTTCATAAAACTGCTCTATTCCTAATTATTCTCGAGACAGCATTGCGCTAAATTTCACTCCCTAAAATCTAATTTTCTGCATTCGAATAGTTAATTTTATCTGTCCGACAAACTACTTCTTTCCAGCGAATATATGTAATTAATGTGCTGTCCTTAGCTTTAATGGCCTCACGAATGGGGCTAAACTAGTTAGCACCACTTCCCAAATAAACGTTTATCGAAAATACAAGTGACATATTCCCCACATTAAGTCTATATAAATATTCGAAGTTGTAGGTGAGATGAAAATAAATCCTTCAAATGAGGTATCCATAGCATTCCAAATAATGAGAAATAACTATTTACCAAGATGCGTTGTGTTGCTACTATTAATAGTAGTAGTAATGTTAGTTGATGAATTACCTTTAATTGTAGGAGATTAAACAAGATTTAAAAAATTTAGTTGCCTAATGCTCTAGTATTCGAGGTTCCGCATAGACTATGATGTCATATGGAAGCGTTTTAACCCCTAAATTAATGCCTTTACTCATCACTATGCAAGCATAACGCACTCAATATTTTTCGTTCTCATCAAAAAAGTGTACAAACTAAGACTAGGCAGCTGATAGTCTGTCATATCTTGTCTTCTGGCACTTACTAACATCTCCTGAGCTTCTAAAGCGTGTTTACAATCCATCTCATTTCTTAATACACTATGCGGTGCTTTACTGTAGTGTCTTCCACGGAAGCTTTGAAAAATGGTTTTAAGCTAAAGAATAATCATTCAGAACTCTGACTTATCTCCTTATGCTCACCTTTAACCTTTATCCCGCTAGGGACACGGCAGGAAAAATCCTCAGATTGCTGGAATATTTTGGCTTGCGGAACAAACTACACATATTATAACTTATATCTAGAATGAGTATGTTTCGTTATTATCAAGATTTCTTGAATCATAATCAAGTCACCCTAGATCACATAAGTGGAGTTTATCTCATAATTATATGAGTAGTTTTTACGATGTCATTTAAGTTCACTTAATCTTGCCTCAGAAAGAATTATTTACACAAGCTAGACTGCATTTAGATCTCACTAACAGGATTTTGAGCCTAATTGTGATGATCATGACAACATGTTCCTGCCAGCTTACACAACTAAGATATCAGTGGATCACAGGGCAAGGCAAACCGGGCCTTTCATTGATTGCATATATAGCATGATTATCGATGAAGCAAATATGTATTTTCCATTGCAATAAATATCGTTACTTATTTTTAATGCATGTTTATAGATTAACATTGCTTCAACTATAATCGTGATTCGTATGAGACCTTATCCGCCTTGAATATCACATCTAGCCCATGACACTGAAATTTGCCGAGTGGTAAGTTGTGGCCACAACACTCACGATCTGGTTTCGAATCAGGCTGGCATGATCGAAGCTGCAGTCCACTTTTCGTGAGAAAACCTTTTGGAGGCAAAAGTCAAAGATTATTGTGGGAAAAAACTTCACAATTAGTAATGAAATCACTTTAAGAAAACTGGTTTCAGCTCAAAAGTAAGGCTGATGAGTACAAGCCGGAAAGCTTTGGACACCACCGGTTTCTCTCAAATTAGAATTTTAGTTGCTGCCCGCGAATCGAAACGAATAAATTTATATATTTCGTTTATAAGTAGGCTTTAGTGAGTATGAATGTTGATAAGATCTAGGGGAGGTCAAAATTGCAATCCACCCTGGATTATAATACATTTTTTGCAAAGCAAGACTATGTGAATATCAATGGAAACGTAAGGTATACTCATAGTACGGTGGGAAAATACAGCTACCAATCTCCTTATCATCTTAAACAAAATAATATGAATACACTCCATATATGAAGAAATTTATACTTTGACGAGTTGGTATTGAGCCCTTACCTGAACTCAATCCCTCTTTATAGACAATGCATTCTCCTGTTCAACCTATTCGCAACCCTTTTTACCCATCCATTTTTCGTGAACGAATCTTTGTGATGCAACTAGGCTACATCTATCTGTCACTCTCTCTGCCTTCCTTTGTTCTTCAATTGGTATGCATCTGGAGATAAGGAAGTTGTCGCTTCAAGTCATCTTCCATTATGTTAAGGAGTATAAACCGAGCTATGCTTTGATTTTGATCTCCTTTGGATATTGAAGAAGATTCTGATTCACATTTTCTAGTGAAAGAATTTTAACTAGCCTAAGTCGAGTAAAGTGATAAAGTTCTGATAGCCAACTATTCCCACAATTATATGAGTAGGCCTCATAAGAACACTGCATTTCACTTAGCTTTTATTCCAAAAAGGTATTCTTATCCATTCCGTGTATAAATTCTGCACTCCCTGGTTTCGATTCTCGTTTAGGATGCTAACGAGTCCCAGGCAAGGTCGAGATTACAGTCCACTTTGGATGAGAATACCTTGAAGGAGGCAATGCTATGTGAAATTCAATTCCATTGTTAGGGCTATTCAGATCCTCGTGGGAAAGTTGAAATATTAGTCCTTTATCTCCTTATCCATCTAGCGCGGATACAATTATTAATCAAAGCTTATCGTTATTATCTAAATCTACTCGAATCATCAAGGCAACTAGCACCATTTATGTCATGTTGACCGAAATGTCGTCGTGTTATGTATCCTTAGATGTTAATTTGAGTTTGATAACCAGGTTAAGGACAATGTGAATTGGATGTTTTTATTGCAATAACTCAAACATCTATCCTACAGTTACGCCACATCTCAGTGTTATGGTTCGGCCTACCTGAAAGAGGATGTAGGCGAAAAGACCCAGTTCATCGACTAGTGTACGAGCCCTGACAACTCTGCGTGCTGATTGCCATAAATGCAAGCCCAAAACAGGTCCCAGATAGGCGAAGACTAGCAGGCCAATCCAGAAATTGAGGGCTGAAGACATACCATAACACAAAGGGGTGATTTGACTCCATACCAGAAGACCACATGCTCTCAGGTAAGAGGTGGAGTTGCTGAGACCATAATTGTGACCTGTGCCGCTGGTCTCTGTGATCGAGTAGGCGAAATGGTGCAGCGCATGACAGACAGACAATACAAAGAAGAGGTTAAAGATGGCCCGAAAGTGATTTGTTATGTAGAGCTCGGTGAACAATGACTTCTGGTGTCTGAAGACTTTGCAATGCCAAGCATTCTGCATGATCGACTTTCCAGTGGCGTCGACAGACGTCCAAGAGGATCCAAGTTTCGGTTGTTTCTGAAAAAAAGGTTTCATCATTGATGTGAGCAGGTTTGAGACTTTCAGTAAGGCTTGAGTAAGAACTGGGTCGCTTAATGGAATTTAAAGGACTGATATATTCATTGCCGTTTGCACACTAGGTCGCATAAGACTATGAATGAATGATAGTTGTGTTTTATCATAATACTATGAATAGGTGAGATCAAAACTGCTGAATGAGATTACCTTTGGGGATGCAAAGTCATGTGAAGTTAAACGGAATCGTGCAACATACTCATATCATTGTGAGAAAATTCAACTAGCAGTCATAGAGTGAATACCCCTTTTATGTAAGGTCTACTATTTAAGTTTTCCCCGAAATGATATGAGTAGGCATCTGGATAGTATTCACTAATGCTACTCAGCCTTGCTTCCCAAAAGACTAATTCATCCAGGCCGGACTTGTGATATTGCCATGCAAACCTATTACTCACACACTTTCTATTAAGATGGAAGTAATCGTAGACCAAGAACAACATCCGAAAGCATCTCAAAATGCGTTGTACTCGTTCTCTGAGTGACTTATAATTAGTATGAAATCTGAAAGTAGAATATTATTCTGGACGCTGCATATGTTTACGTCAGGTGTCTGCAAGGGTTTGTAGATGTGAGAACCTTCAAGCCGAAGTCACTTGTGACAAAGGACATGTAAGCTTTCATCAGAAAGTGGAATACAATCCTCATACACGTACTACAGAGACTTCCTCCACGGTCAAATGGCAGTAAACTGAGCACTATGTATAAAACTGCATGATGCTAATCGGTCTCTCCGGCCAGAAAACATACTCGAGTAAGAAGATATGAAGACCATGATGGTGTGGCCTTTTGTATGATCGCGGTCTCCTTTCGTCGCATAAAAGTTGTGTGACCTTGTTTCTCAACTTGGTCATATTTGCAGGAAGACCTA